AAAAAAAAAAAAAAAATGAAAACACAAAATTAAATAAGAAAAGCGCATTGGGCTTGCTAATCCAAAGGCTCAAAGTCGTATATCAGGCATATACGTGCTATACATTTCGAAAGGATTGTCTATGATGTGCGAGATTGTGTTAAATTATTAAAGCCCAAGTAGCCAAATCGCATCCAACGAACGTGAAATGGGCTTGGGCCATATGCATACGACACCTCCCAGCGATAAGGGGCGCTTAACGGCAAATGCGCTCCTATGAAAAGTTATTATTATTGGATCACGTTGTCGCTGTTGTTGCTTGTTGTTACCCATCGTCCATTGCCATTTCCAATGTTTTTCTTGGGCGTAAATTGCAAATTGGTGAAATCACAGCACAGTGGCTGTTAAGCCTCAATGACTGTTGCTGTTTCAGTTTATATATTTCGCTATAAGAATTATTATGCTTGAGTGTGTGTCAACATGGAAGAAGATTTCATTTTAGCATAAGCCACACCTACACAATTTGTTGTTTGCTGAAGTAAATTTTCTATTCTTATGAAATTAAATATTTATATGATTCTCAAGACATTTTCTTCGGTGTTGAATCTTCAGCCAGCGCTGTACACAAGCTATGAATATTTACTTTCATTATTGCAGTGCGTTTAAAAGCTTCCTTGGTATACAAATAAAATCATAATCATAAGCACACAAACTAGAACTTTTATTTACAATTGTCAAGTTATCTGCATGCCTGCACTAACAAAGCAAAAAAAAAAAAAAATAAATAAAATAAAATTAATAATTAAAAACATTCACGTAACATCTCCAACAGCTCCCCAGTAATCTGGTTTCCAATTATTGTAAATTTAAAAAGCTACTGATATTACCCGATGGAACCTGTTCATAAATCTAAAATGCGATTTACCAGCTAATATCAACATGTCAATGTGATAAAATAAGTTCAGCCCTTCGTGTTTATCAGTGTTATATAAGCAAAGCTTAAGACTTTCTTTAAATAGGCCATGTATCGGGATGGAAAACCATTCGCAAGCTTGAGGCGTATCCAACAACATGAAGTACTTACCAGTGTTTCTGGCACTGCTCGTGCCCCCAGCGCCGGCAGCAATTCTTGAGGACATTCCAGGTTCAGATGAAATGGATATTCCAGCATTTGTTCAAACACTCAACCAGCTTCACCGTGGGCCACCATTGCCGCCAAGCACCAAGCGTGCAAATGTGGAGACTCGATGGTTCAACCAGAGCCTGGACAACTTTGACGACACCAACAAGAGCGTGTGGAGCCAAGTGAGTTCGCTAGTTGCTTACAGGAATTAAACTAATTATGTCTAACTTATCTTCGTCAGCGTGTTATGATCAACGAAGACAACTTTGTAGATGGTTCCCCTATCTTCTTATTACTCGGCGGCGAATGGACAATTGATCCGAGCTCCATAACATCAGGACTGTGGGTTGACATCGCAAAGGAGCACAATGGGTCACTGGTCTACACTGAACATCGATTCTTCGGCGAGAGCATTCCAATTCTGTTAGCTTCAAATCTCTTCTAGCTAAATTTTCTAATTGATATACATAAAATTAATGTTTTATATTACAGACCCCTTTCAACGGAAAACCTTAAGTATCATGGTGTGGAACAAGCTTTGGCCGATGTGGTGAATGTTATCAAGGTGCTCAAAGAAGAGGACAAGTACAAGAGCTCCAAGGTCGTCGTTTCAGGCGGTTCCTACTCTGCGTCCATGGTAGTTTGGCTTAAGCTATTGTACCCCGACGTAATAGTGGGCGGTTGGGCTTCCAGTGCTGTGTTAGAGGCTAAAGTCGACTTTTCCGATTTCATGGAAGTTGTTGGCAGAGCTTACAGACAGCTGGGAGGAGACTATTGCTACGACCTCATCGATAATGCGACATCTTACTATGAGGATCTGTTTCAGACTGGTCAGGGAGCTAAGGCCAAGAAACTCCTSAATTTGTGCGACAGTTTCGACGAGAATAATGAAAGGGATCAGTGGCAATTATTTAGCTCGATTGCAAACATATTTGCAGGCATAGCGCAGTACCAAAAGTAACTATGGCACAAGCAACATCTTTCTTCTTCTTCTATATGATTTTGTTTCTTTGTAGACCAGAAAACTATGATTTGGCCCAATATTGCTCCGTTCTGCGAAACTTTGATATTGATGATGCCTCAGCACTATCTAAGTTCGTACAGTGGCGTTTCAGGCAACAAGGATGTCATAATCCTCGATATCAGGACACTGTTGATTATTACAAATGGGCCAAGATTAACCACAATGGTAGCCGTAAGTAGAGCCGTATACCGCAAAAGACACTGTAAATCAAATACAAACCATTTTCTTTACTTCTTAGTACATCTCAGCTGGTTCTACCAAACATGCAGACAATTTGGTTGGTTCCAATCCTCTGCAAACAAGAATCACCCATTCGGATCTACTTTCCCGGCAACTATGTATACGGATATGTGTCACGACGTATTCGGATCCCAATACACCTCAGCGAAAATTGAAGAATATATTCAGGCCACAAATAAGAAGCTTGGTGGAAAGCATCCAGCTGTGGAGAATGTTTATATGACTCATGGTGCTTTGGATGGATGGAGCGCAGTTGGGTCTGACTCTGCTACAATTATTCCACAAGCCTCGCATTGCTCCGATGTTTGGTCAATCGGTCCCACAGACAGTCCCGCATTGCGTGCAGCTAAGGAACGAGTGATTGAACTAGTTCGCGAGTGGCTTGCATAAACTCCACATGAGCGAATTTACATTTGATTGCGTCCTCTCGAGTTGAATATGATTGATATTTGTGTAGTAAAACGTGAAATGTGCTTTCCACTTGGTACATTGTACAGTACCAAGTACCAGTACCAATTATTTTTGTTGTTATATGAAAAATTGAAAACATTTACATATATAGAAGAAGAATAATTTCGTATAAAATACAAATATAGCATTTAAATTATTATATTTTGATCTTTTAAACTTGTTAAACTAGCTTCAAGATATCAGTAATAATGATGAATAATAATGTTTCTAAAAGTCACATCAACAATAAGCTAGCTCAAATGTTTCACACTCACGAGAATTGCATTTGCAATTCTCAAGGGGCCAACCTAATAAAGTGCTTAATTTGCGACTAGCGGTAAAACTTCTTTAAAAACATTAAACAAAAAACCCGCGAAATTCCATTTTAGATCAACTTTTTACTGAGCGAACTGTTCGGGCAAAAGCTCTCTGTGCTCGGCTAAAGAAACCTTGAGCATGCGCTTGGTTGAGCACTCGCCCAGTCAGTGAGCGCCGCTCCGCGAAAGCTGGCTCAAAAATCCTATCCAATTCCGTTATGAATGGCATCCTGTTGCTTGAGCAAACTCGTAACAGGTGGCAAGGCTATGGCAGCGCTCAATGCGGCTCGGAGACAGCTTTAATAGCTCTGCCGACGGCATGGCCAAGTGGCAAGTGGAAGTTACTTTAACAATGGCAGCTAAGCTCCGATTCCCTTCCAAAGAAGAAAAAAAAAAGCCAAAAATGAGCGGAAACTGCTGTGTTTGAGAGTAACGTTTCAGGGCTTTCTACAGACACCTTGACACTGTGACACACAAACACAGTTGCAGGTGTCGGCATCAAGTTTAAATTACAATAGCCATCCATGTCAGCAGCAGCGGAAAATTCTTTAGAGCTCCGTTCGCTTAGTCTTCGTTCAGGGCTGTTACCTTGAAATTTGCTAATCGCGTACATATCTCTCAATTTGGCCAGCCGTGTACATGTTTACCTTGTTGCCCAGCAGCCAGGGCTGTGAACTTACTTACCACGAAGAGCTAAAATAACAGCGTCAAGTGGATTAGCTTGCCAGGAAGTTTATAAAGTAAAAACTTAATTGAATGGCAAAAGGAGGCTAACAAATTGCAAATTGCAGGCAAACTGCTGACAAACTGCTGAATTAACAAGTCGAGTGCCCTTTAACTTTTAGGTGATGGCATGAGCCTTAAAAAGGACCATTAATATATAGCATTTTGTTTTCGCAGCATAATTAAGGATTGTTATTGTGTATAACATAAATATTTATGGAATATGTTAATTAAAAATTTATTTATAATCAGATTGAAGCTCACCTAGAATATAATTAGGCGCAACTACAATCTTATATTGGACAGGCACCATTTATAGTATCATATATACCCAGTTTCAGAACATTTAGCTAACTTCTATTTCAAAAAGGTCGAAGAGTCTTTATAAATTAAATATATTTAGTATTTATAAAGTCTACCGAAATCTCTCTGCTCTCGTTAACTAAGGGAAGGCGAAATATTAAAAGCAACACATTTATTTCTGTAATATTCAGGTTCATTTCTGCCTAGATTTAAAATTTTTGCATAGTCTATCCATATCTGAATTTTCTGATTAACCAGCAAATTAATTTGCCTAAGTACATGTAAAATGGAAGCTCTGATACTGAAAATAACAATTGAGCTATGCACCCAGGTGGGTTAGATGTAAATTTATAATATAATTTAAAAGTGCCTACAGAGCGCTGCTTGAATGGAGTCTATTAAAGCAGATTCTCTCCCAGGCATCAAAACCATTCAAAAAGTTCGCACACTTACCCAAGCGGGACTCAAATTTAATTTTTGGAGTTCTCAAGCGGATTAATCTTGCCTTCTGCATCACTCGAGGGCCAGCTCAGTTGCCGCTTAATTTGGCGTGGACCAATAATTTTCCTTATTTCAGCTACTTGACTGGCTAACTTTAAAGTGGATGCAGCACGACCCCACGCAACGCTTATTTTCCCTTAGATTTTAATCAGCCCAGGGGCATAAAATAATTATAAAATGTTAAACTTTTTTGTTTTGATTTTTGTATACTCTATTTATTGGAAGCTAAAAATGTTATATAAAATTCGATTCGGATTGAATATATATGTTAATATATATGCCTTCTAGGTACTTGTAAATAGTACTCATTAACTTAGTCTATCTGGTTATGAGCATATATGTATATATAACAGAGCTTTCAGGTTGAAAGATGAATTTTAGTAAATAGTGAACAAATTTTGAATAATTGCACTTTCTTTTTATACCCTGAACCCATTGAAAATGGGAAATCAGGGTATAATGGTTTTGTTGAAATGTATGTAACAGGCAGAAGGAAGCGTGGCAGACCCCATAAAGTATATATATTCTTGATCAGGGTGACGAGCTGAGTTGATTTGGCATTGTCCGTCTGTCTGTCTGTCCGTCTGTCCGTATGTTTGAACGCGTCGATTTCCGAAGATATAAGAGCTAGAGACTTCAAATTTTTTGTAAAATGTTCGTAATTACAGCGCGGATATCGAGTTTATCATTAAAA